AATAACCCCACAGTGAAATGGCTTCTAAGTGTTCAAGTGAAATAAAGAGTCACACGTCTCTTGCTTTGAATCAAAAGCTAGAAATGATTAAGCTTAGTGAGGAAGGCATGTTGAAAGCTGGAACAGGTCGAAAGCTAGGCCACTTGTACCAAACATGAGGTGCAAGCAAATGGTGCCAAACAAGTTAGCCAAGTTGTGAATGCAAAGGAAAAGTTCTTGAAGGAAATTACCAGTGCTACTCCAGTGAACACATGAATGATTCAAAAGTGAAACAGTCTTCTTGCTGATATAGAGAAAGTTTTAACGGTCTGGACAGAAGATCAAACCAACCACAACATTCCCTTAAGCCAAAGCCTAATCCAGAAAAAGGCCCTAACTCTTTTCAATTCTATGAAGGCTGAGAGAGGTGAGGAAGCTGCAGAAGAAAAGTTTGAAGGCAGCACAGGTTGGTTCAGGAGGTGTAAGGAAAGCATAACATAAAAGTGCAAGGTGAAGCAGCAAGTTATCCAGAAGATCCTGCTCAGATAATGAAGGTGGCTATACTAAACAAAAGATTTTCAGTTGTAGGTGAAACAGCCTTATATTGGAAGAAGATGCTGTCTCAGACTTTCACAGCTAAAGAGAAGTCAATACCAGGCCTCAAGGCTTCAAAGGACAGGCTGGCTCTCCTGTTAAGAGCTAATGCAGCTGGTGACTTGAAGTTGAAGCCAATGCTCATTTACCATTCCAAAAATCCCAGGGCCTTCCGAATTATGGCAAATCTACTTTGCCTGTGTTCTATAAATACAACATTACCTGGATGATAGCGTACCTGTTTACAGCACGGTTTACTGAACATTTGAAACCCACTGTTGAGACCTTCTGCTCGGAGAAAGATTCCTTTCGAAATTATGACTACACATTGACAATGCACCCGGTCACCCAAAAGCTCTGATGAATATGTATGACAAGATTAATGTTGTTTTCATGTCTGCAAATGTAACAGTCATTTTGCAGCCTGTGGATCAACGAGTCATTTTGACTTTCAAGTTTTATTTAAGAACTATGCTTTGTAAGGTGATAGCTGCTGTAGAGGGTCTTATGATGGATCTGGACAAAGTAAATTGAAAACCTTCTGGAAAGAATTAACCATTCTAGATGCCATTCAGAACATTCCTGATTCAAGGGAAGAGGTCAAAATATCAACATGAACAGGAGTTTAGAAGTGGATTCCAACCCTCATGGAGTACTTTGAGGGGTTCAGGACTTGAGTGGAGGAAGAAACTCCACATGTGGTGGAAACAGCAAGAGAACTAGAAGTGGAACCTGAAGACAGGATTGAATTACTGCAATATCACGACAGGACTTTAACAGATAAGTAGCTGTTTCTTATGGGTGAGCAAAGAAGGTGGCTTCTTGAGATGGAAACTGCTCCTGGTGAAGATGCTGTGAAGACTGTTGAAACGACAACAAAGGATTTAGAATATGACAGAAGCTTAGCTGATAAAGCAGCAGCAGGATTTGAGAGTATCAGCTCCAATTTTGAAAGGAGTTCTGTAGGGAAAATGCTATCAAACAGCATCGCACGCTACGGGGAATCATTTGTGAAAGGAAGAGTCAATCAATACAGCAAAGTTCACTGTTGTCTTATTTTAAGAAATTGCCACAGCCACCCCAATCTTCAGCACCCACCACCCTGATCAGTCAGCAGCTATCACCATCAAGGCAAGACCCTCCACCAGCAAGAAGATTATGGCTTACCAAAAACTTAGATGGTAGTTAGCATTTTTCAGTCATACAGTATTTTTTATTTAAGGTATGTACACTATTTTTTAAATTTTTAAATGTTTATTTATCTACTTAGACAGAGACAGAGAGAGAGAGAGAGAGAGAGGAGGTAGAGAGAGAATCCCAAGCAGGCTCTGCACTGTCAGTGCAAAGCCCAATGTGGGGCTCAATCTCACAAACTATGAGATCATGACCTGAGACAAAATTCAGAGCTGGATGCTTAGCCTACTGAGCCACCCAGGCATCCATGTACACTGTTGTTTTTTTTTTTCAAACACAGTGCTATGGCACACTTAACAGACTACAGTGTAATGTAAACCTAACATATATACACTGGGAAATAAAAAAAATTCACTTGATTCACTTCATTGTACTCGTTTTATTGCAGTGGTTCAGTACTTAACCTGCAGTATCTCCAAGGTACACCTGTCAACACATAAAAAGTTGTTCAATGTCATTAGTTATTAAGGGAATGCAAATTAAAACCACCATGAGATGCCACCAGACACCCATTAAAATAAACTTAAGACTGACAATACCAAGTGTTAGTGGGACATGGAACAACTGGAACCTCCATACATTGTTTGTGCGAATGCCACTTTGAAAAACAGCTGTGCAGCATTTTATAAACACAGATGTACTACATGACCCTGCGGCAGTTCCTTTCTTGGGAATTTATCAAAGAAAAATTAAAACACGTTTGTTCATACAAAGATACAAAGGCTTGTACACAAATGGCTATACCAGCATCATTCATATTAACAAAATGGAAACAACCCAAATGTTTATCAAAAGGTGAATGGATATAAGCAAATGAGGTTTATATAAAGTAAATGCTATTCAGTAATGAAAAGGAGTGAACAATATGGATGAATCTCAAAAGCATTATGCTAAGTGGAAAAAGGCAGACACAAAAGACTACATATTATCAGATTTCATTTACATGAAATTTTACAGAAGGCAAAACAGTAGGTACAGAGAGCAGGATCTGAGGGTAGAAGGGTAGATTCCCCCCCTCAGAGGGGACTGACTACAACAGGGCACACAGAAACTTTTAGAGTTATTTGGGATGTTCTACATCACAACTGTGATGGTGGTTACACAACTATATTCATTTCCCAAAACACATCAAATTGAACACTGAAAATTAGTGATTTTATGTAAATTATACCCCAATAAAACAGTTTCAAAAAGTGCTTAACAGGGGTACATGGGTGGCTCAGCCAGTTAAGCATCTGGCTTCAGCTCAGGTCATGATCTCATGGTCTGTGGGTTTGAGCCCCGCGTTGGGCTCTGTGCTGGGAGCCTGGAGCCTGCTTTGGATTCTGTGTCTCCTCTCTGTGCCCCTCTCCCACTCGTGCTCTGTCTCTCTCTCTCTCGAAAATAAATAAACATTAAAAAAAGTAAAACAAAGCATTTAATAAAGATTTAAAAAAAATTTTTAATGTTTATTTTTGAGAGAGAGACAGAGTGCAAGCAGAGGAGGGCAGAGAGAGAGGGAGACACATAATCTGAAACAGGCTCCAGGCTCTGAGCTTCAGTGCAGAGCCCAACGCAGGGCTCAAACTCACAAACTGTGATATCATGACCTGAGCCAAAGTTGGAGGCTAACCAACTGAATCACCCAGGCATTGCAAGACTTTTAAAAAGTATTATCCAATAGGGGTGCCTGGCTGACTCAGTCAGTAGAACATGTGACTCTTGATCTCAGGATCATGAGTTCAAGCCCCATACCGGGAATGAAGCCTACCTAGAATTTTTTAAGTATTATCCAATATATAAGGTATATATGTACAGGCAACATGCAACAAACTGTGGAGTTACCATTGTATTTCTCAGTAGTGGTTCTTTGGAATTTGATAACCTTAGTTTTACAACTGCATTGCAAAAATCGTTTCATGTATGATACAAAGAGACCTCTATCAGTTTGTAACAACATTTACCACTGGTACAAACAGATGGAGCAGATAAAGCACAGGATGTCCTCCTATGTCTCAGGAAGCCAAACTGCCTTACTGTCATCATTCAGTGAAGTCTCACAATATTCATAGAGGAAAACTTAGCTGTGTACCAGGCATCCCCCTGTCCACCATCTGGAATATTCTTCATTCAAAGCTAAAGAAGACATCTTTTCTTCTGCAAATGATTCAAGCCCTAACAGTGGTAAATAAAGCAAAAATGATACCATTGCTGCAGTTTTAAAAATCAGGAGGAACACAAAAAGGACTTTGCAGGTCACTTCACATTCAAGGATAAGGCTATACACCACGTAAGTGGAGAGACAGATCATCACAATATACGACTGTGGGATGCTGCCATCCTAATAAAATAGAATGTATAAGGGATCCACCAAAAATTCATATCTTTTAACTATATTTGACCTATTTGTTTATTATTTGACCTATTTGTTTATGATGTTTCTCCCCACTAAAATGATGACACTCCATGATGATAGGGATTTCTGTCTTTGTTTACTGCTGTATCCCTAGCACCTAGAACAATGCCTACTATGTAATAATTGCTCAATAAATACCCGTTAAGTGAATAAGTTATGCCTATGTTGATATTCAGTAAATATCTGTACAAATTTATTATGTCTATGTAGATATTATTCCCAGGTAAATGATGTAATAACCTTCCTTTATATTTCCTTTCTTTTACAATTCTTTGACTAGAAGTTGTCTTGTTTCTTCATTTTGTTTCTAAATACCAATTCAGACAAACTTTCAAGCAAAAATGAATGTTATTTCTTCTCCTTTATTTCTTCATTTCAAAAATTTCCTACAATACATGTGTATGTTCAGAATAAAGAACAAATGCACCTTTATAAAATTACTTTTATAGAGGGCTATGTAAGTTAATAATAGCCTGTTTCAAGTTTTCTATTTCCTCAAATCTATCCCTCTGCATATGTTCTTTACCTTCTTTGAAAAACCCTCCACACATTTCTCTATAAATTTAGCCGGTCTCAACCCAATTTCCCCAGTTAAGAATCCTTTATAATACTGGTTAATCTCAATCCTTTGATCCACTTTGATTCCCAAAACAGAACCCTAAACCTCTTCAGTATATATCTGTATTACCTACTGCTAAAGAACATTCAATAAATGCTTAATTTGTTGAACCTGATGAATTTCTGTGAGACTGAAGAAGCATGAGAATACAAACATTAATGTAAAGCTACAAATATAAAGAAATATATTTGCATATTAAACTATATGCATAAAACCTACCAGCAGTGTGGGTCCTTGGGAAATGAAGAAATGACCTGATATAACGATGGTGAGAACAAGATACCCAGATTCTTCACTGGAGTCAAAAACCTTGAAACAGAAAAAGTGAAAGAAATGTGCATAAGACAATACACTTCTGAAATACCAATAAATGTATAATATCTTCTCACACTGAGCTTCCTACTCTGAACATTTCTTTTCCTTCTGTTTAATCTGTAGGGGCGCCTGGGTGGTTGAGTCTGTTAAGCTCTAACTTTGGTTCAGGTCATGATCCCGTGGTTCATGACTTTGAGCCCTGCATTGGAGTTTGTGCTGACAGCTGGGAGCCTGGAGCCTGCTTCAGATTCTGTGTCTCCCTCTCTCTGCCCCTCCCCCACTCGCGCTCGCTCTCTCTCTCTCTCTCTCTCTCTTTAAAAAAAATAAACATTAAAAAAATTTACAGATCTGTAATCATTTACTTATCATTTCAAATTTCTCCTCTATAGGGGCTAACAGTCAGCTTTTAAAAAATATAACTAAAACATATATTTTGAAATGAAAAGAATACTAGATTAAAAATAAGGAGATGTGGGCCCTAAGCCAACCACTTTTCAGTATCATTTTAACTAGTCATTAATTATCTTTGAGCCTCAATTTCCTTTCTGTAAAATGGGGATAATGCCCTACAGTGTTGCTATGAGACTTCAGAGTCCTCCTTTCATCAGCCATACAATCCATTTTTATAATCCCTCAAAACCTGGTGTTTTTCCTTGCATGAACTTTAATTTGTCCATGTCACTCTTAAAATATGGTGCCCAAAACTGACCATAATACGCTTGGTGTGGTCTAACTATCTCCTATTTTTTGCACTAATGCAGCCTATAATCACATTAACCTTTTGAGGGGGTAGTCCCATTTAAAGAATGATCTGATATCAGCAAAACTTCCTGAAACTTCATCACTTATACTGGTAAATCAGACTTTCATTTTCATCTGAACCTAAATGTAAGACCTTGCATTTATTCTCATTATATTTTATCTTGTTAAATTTGGTCCATAGTTTTCTAGGGAGTTGAGGCAATGAAATCAAAATGTCAAGGAGGACATGACTGACAGATACAGACTAGTAGAATTTGGGTCTTAAGCGGCTACCCTGTATAGGTGGTTTTCATACACTGTAAGGTAAACAAACTTGTAGAAATAATAAGATGAAATTATAGATTCACCTCAATGCTCAAAGCTCAAAACAATTAACACATACCTAACTCAAGTATATCTTTATGAGGTTACTACATTCTATTGAGAAATAATGTTCTTATAGTTTCATATGTGGGGTTTACAGCTTTAATGCTATATTTAAACTTAAGATTTCCTACTGAGTTTCCTCTAATTCACTTTAAATTCCAACCTTAAAAAAACTTGAAGGATTTTTAGATGTCAAGGAAGGTATGCTAAAATCTAAACTTCAGTGGCTGTTATTCTGCCTCTTTTCTAGTATTAAGAATTCAGCTATTTGTATGATACTCTTCCTGCCACAGTTTAAATAGATTATCTTTTATGCTTCATGGCCACTTAAAACCACAAGGATAACTAGGAGTCAAGAGGAGCTTTCAAAACTAGAGCCTGGTCAACAAATTCTTTAGGAGGCAATATGTTAACATGATAGTTTATTTTTTTTAGAAATGTAATAGACACCCTGAAAATACCCCCCAAAGTGTCCAACACTTAAATGTACAACTCAGTGAATAATGATAACGTCAACATATAATAATTACCACCCAGGTGAAGAAACAGAACATTGCCAGCCTTCCAGAAGGTACCCTAGTGCTGTCTCCCAATCACTACCTGCTCCTTCCTCCCCCTAACACAGCTTGATTTCTAACACCATAGTTTAGCTTTATTTATAAGAATAGAATCATATAGAAAGAATTACGTCTGGCTTCATCAGTGTTGTTGCATGTACCCAGTTCATTCATTTTCATTACTGTACAATACCATTCTATGACTACACCACAATTTATTTTTTCATTCTCTTGTTGATCAATATTGTTTTCCAGTTTAGGTCTACCACTAACAATGCTGTTATGAACATTTTTATATATGTCTTTTGTTAGGCAGGAACACTCACTATGGAGACCCCAATTCTTTCCCAATTATTTTATAAGTTTTTCAAGTAGTGACTAATGACTTCCAAGAGAATCCCAGTAGACTTCTCCCCTGGGCTCCAAATTGTTACATCTAATTGCCCACTCATTATTTCCACTTAAAGGTCCAACAGTCATTGCAAAATTAACAGCTCCTAATTCCAAGTCCAAACCCTCCACTCATTCATTTATTCATTGAATATTTACAAAGTGTCGAGCAAGTGACATCTGTTGCCTATCACCAGGAGTAGAAATCCAACCATTTCTGCCCACTGCATTTTGGTACTGGAGTCACTATGGAAAACACAACACAGTCAAGTACTGGATGGAACAGCACTTTACTCACATACAGAATAAATAGAGCAAGATGAGCATGAGTAGTGGGGGTCAGTTCCCCCTGGCGGGGGAGAGAGAGCAGGTCCCTCTCAGCAGCCACACAGAGCAGTTGGCCTGTTCTCAGCCCTCTGGTGCTGCAGCAGAAGGATGCCATTCCCTCCCCCAAAGGGACAGATACAGCAGTAGGGTTGGCTGGGTGCCATTTAATACTTAAGCAGAACAAAGGAGCATGGGCTATGAGGACTCTCCCTTGGTAAAGGAAGTGTTCCAGGCTTCAGACCCATTCTTATGGTCTTGGTCGAAAGGGGCTGAAAGACTACATGCACAAAAGACTGCCTTCCCAACACAAAACGCATACCACATACCAGGCTGTTGTAGGTATCTGACTCCCACAGTTTCACATCAAAGAATATAATTCTTAGGTAAATGGTGGAATCATTCTTAAATCCTCTCCCTTCCTCATATCCAAATCAATCCATCAGCATATCCTTCATGTCTATCTTCAAAATATTCAGCATCCAATCACTTCTCACGGGTCTGGTCTGAGTTACCATCTCCAGTTGTATTAACATAATAACCTTAATGGCTTTCCCTTTGTGTTCTTGCTCCCTCTCCCCACACAATTTATTCTCAATAAAGTAAGCAGAGTGATTTTTTTTTTTTTTTTTTTAGAGTTTATTTATTTTGAGAGAGTGGGAGGGAAATTGTGACCAGGGAAGGGCAGAGAGAGAGGGAGGCTCCATGCTATCAGCACAGAGCCCGACAAGCAGCTTGATCCTGTGAACTGTGAGATCATGACCTGAGCTGAAATCAAGAGTCAGACACTTAACTAACTGAACCACCCAGGAGCCCCTTCCAGAGTAATCTTTTAAAACCTAAGTTAGATCATGTTATTTCCAGCTCAAAGCCCTGCAGTAGCCCTGCATCTCATTCAGAAACTCATGCAAAGTATTCTACAACCCAGCCCCTACTGCCCCTTTCTCAGGGCTTTTTCAGTCCTGTTCTATCTAAAATTCTCTTATATTCACATAACTCACTCCTTCATCTTCTTCAAGTCTTTGCTTAAATGTCACCTTTTCAGGTAATACCTTTCCTGACCATCCTACTGAAAACTGCCACCAATTCCTCTCATTGCCCAAACCAGATGGCTCCTATTCCTTTTTCCAGCTTTGCTTTCCTCCATAGTTCTTTCCACTTTTGTTACTTTATATTTACTTGTTATCTACCTATTTTCTTTAAAATGTAATTGATAAATGGGATTATAAACAATACTCAATCTGAAAGTCAGAATAAGAATAAAAAGGGAACAAAGAACAGATGGGACAAGCACAAAACAAATACCAAGATTATACACTTATACCCACCCTATCAATGACCGATCACATTAAGTGTAAATGGCTTAAATACCCGAATAAAAGACAATCTAACAGGACAAAAAGGTATGACTATACCCTGTCTATAAGAAATGCATTTTATTTTATTTATATTTTAATGTTTATTCATTTTTGAGAGAGACAGAGTGTGAGCAGGGGAGGGGCAGAGAGAGAGGGAGACATAGAACCTGAAGCAGGCCCCAGGCTCTGAGCTGTCAGCACAGAGCCTAATGGATGCTCAAACTCACAAATTGTGAGATCATGACCGGAGCCAGAGTCGGAGGCTCAACCAACTGAGCCACCCAGACACCCTGAAATGCATTTTATTTTTTAAAACGTGTATTTAGTTTTGGATACAACAATACATTAAAAAAATTATTCACCACGACCAACTGGGATTTATACCTGGGATGCAGGCCCAGTTCAATATCCACAAAACAATCAATGTGATTCATCACATCAATAAAAGAAAGGACAAGAACCACATGATCCTCTCAACAGATGCAGAGAAAGCATTTGACAAAATACAGCATCCTTTCTTGATAAAAACTCTTAAGAAAGTAGGGATAGAAGGATCATACCTCAAGATCATAAAAGCCATATATGAAAGACCCATTGCTAATATCATCCTCAATGGGGAAAAACTGAGAGCTTTCCCCCGAAGGTCAGGGACAAGACAAGGATGACCACTTTTGCCACTGTTATTCAACATAGCATTAGAAGTCTTAGCCTCAGCAATCAGACAACACAAAGAAATAAAAGACATCCAAATCGGCCAGGAGGAGGTCAAACTTTCATTCTCTGCAGATGACAGGATACTCTATATGGAAAATCCAAAAGATTCCACCAAAAAACTACTAGAACTGATCCATTAATTCAGCAAAGTGGCAAGACATAAAATCAATGCACAGAAATCGGTTGCATTTCTATACACCAACAATGAAGCAACAGAAAGAGAAATCAAGGAGTTGATCCCATTTACAATTGCACCAAAAACCTTAAAATACCTAGGAATAAATCTAACCAAAGAGGTGAAAAATCTATACACTGAAAACTATAGAAAGCTTATGAAAGAAATTGAAGAAGACACAAAAAAAGGAAAAATATTCCACGTTCCTGGGTAGGAAGAACAAATATTGTTAAGACATCAATACTACCCAAAGCAATCTACATATTCAATGCAATACGTATCAAAATAACACTAGCATTCTTCACAGAGCTAGAACAAACAATCCTAAAATTTGTATGGAACCACAAA